TTGCCATTTTGAAATACTTTCATACGCAAAAGCTCAAAACAGTAACAATATAATAATAAAATATAAAAAATCTTTTTTAATAATTATTTGAAATTAATATTACTACAAAAAAAATAATTTATTTGTTAATTTTAATAAAATTAAACTTTATATATATCAGTTTATCAAATACAAAAATTTAAAATATATCTTAAATATATAATAACTTATAATAAAAAAATGATAAAATAATTCAATTATAAATATTTAAATATATATATTTTTATAATATATTATTAAAAATTTATAATAATCATTTAATGAATTAATTTTTTATTATATTTATAGTCAAATCTCTTTATAGTTATCATTCTTAAAAAAGCAAAATTTGATAACTATAAAGAAAATATTATTATAAAAAGTTTTTTTACTATATTTATATAAATAAAAAAGTAAAATATGATAAATATAGAGAGATATAACTATAAATAAATATAATTATAAAAAGATTTGACTATATTAAACAAACAAAAAATTTAATAAAAAAACTATTGAATATATAATTATATTAATTCAAATTTAGAATCTTCAAATTAATAAAATATACTTTTTTTATTGATTTTAATAATTTTGTCTATATATTTAAATAAACTTAAAATTAATTTATATAAAGTTTCTAAATTAATATTCATTTATTTCTCTTATAATATATTAATTAATTTTTGCTTTAATATAAGTAAAAATCTTTTTTTTTAAAGTTAACAATTCAAAATATTTCACAAATATTTGATTAAATTAAGATTAGAACTTTGATTAATTCAATTTAAAAGTTGAATATTATATATTAATATCTATTAAGCCATATAAAATAAAATATATTATATTATATTAGCTTACTGAATATAGAATTTGAATATTGATAGATTTAGAATATGAAGTAATTAGTAAAAATATTAATATAAATATCTGAATTTATAATTTTTTCTACTAATATTAAAAAATCAACTCTATTCTAATTAATTTTTTATTAAACTTAACAATAAATTTAATATAGTTTTGATAATATATTTTATCAGATTTTTATTATATTTTTATTTAGCTATTTAATTTAAAAAGTACAAATTTGAACTCATCAAACCAAATAATATTTTTTTGTTATATTTTTTAATTATATTTCTTTTAATATTAATTTAATTAACAAAATTTTTGAGCTGGAATCAAAAAAGTTTTTTTGGAATATAACTTTTAAACTCTATTTTATCTAAATATTTATAGATAATATTAGAATAATAAGTAATATTAAATTTGTTATTTAGTTTATTTGTAATTTTAATATATATTTTTATGATTAATTAGAATTTTTAGCTAATTAAAATACTTTTCAAAATATAATGAGTTAATTTCTTTATAATGTTTGATAATATTATAAACTATTACTTGGAAAATTTTAAATTTAAGTACAATATTAGATTTTTAATATTAGTAAAATAGATATTAATTATTTGCTTTTTTATTTATTGATCAATTTCTTTTTATACATTTTGAAAAAGAAGAAAAAAATAAGTTTTTTTGTTTATTTAATTATTTATATAGTCAAATCTCTCTATAGTTATATTTATTTATAATAATATTTCTCTATAGTTATTCTATTTTGCTTTTTTATATATATATATATATATATATATATATATATAATAAAAAAATTCTTTATACTCATATTCTTTCTATAGTTATTCAATTTTGCTTTTTCAAGAATAGTGACTATAGAAAGATTTAACTATATTTATTATAAATAATATTAATAAAATTGGTTTTTTAAACTTTAGATCAGCATTTTATATAATTGATTTTCAGTAATATACTATAGAATATATATATAAATTAAAAAATTTTGAGAAATCTGATATTTTAATTTAATAAATATATTTATATATATTAATTTTTTTATTTTAAAATAATTTTAATTTTTATATTTTATTATAATTTTTAATAATTATAATTATAGTAATATTTCTATAAATTAAACTAAATTGAACTTTTAACTTTTATCTGAGTTTGAGTTTGGTTCAAAATTTAAATTGAACTCAAATTAGACTTTGACTTAAGTTCAAGAAAAGTTCAAAGTTTGAACTAAACTCAAATTGAACTATTGTACAAGTTTGAATCTTGTTTAAATTTATTTAAAAAGTAGTATATAATATCATATATTGATTTGTAGCACTAAGTAAGAGCTATAAGTGTTAATTATATTATTTAGTAAAAATTAAAAGTTTACTTAGTAATAACTAAATTATTTTTATTTTTATGATTATTAAATTTTATCATAAATTTTATATATTATTACTGATCTGTGATTTTTGTTGATGAAGATATTCACAAGATAGATAATAGTAACTGTGTTCATACAAAAGTATAAAATAAAGATTTTTCTAAAATACAAATTCCAATATCAAGTGACAAAGATTGTATTTATAATTTTTACAAGTGGAACTTTTAACAAATATTAATAATAATTCAACATGTAATGAATTATTATAATAAGAAAGACAAGAAAAATTAATAAAAACAAAATTATTAAAATAAATAGTAGTCTGATCTATTCTTTATTATCAAAAATAAATAACAAGATATCTAATTTTCTATATTAAATTATATTCATTTAAATACATGTTAAAATAATACAGATCTATAAAATTTGTAACAATATAAAGAATCAATAAAATAATAAAGTTATAACATGTGCAATATCAAGAAATAATAAATATAATACAAATTAATCTAAATATTACAAATGAAATTAGCAAAATATTGGTATTACATTAAATAAATTAGATAAATTAATAATTAAAACTAAATTAATAATCAAAATTAAATAGATAATAATTAAAATCAAGAACTAATAAAATATACTAACTATAATTAATAAAAATTGTATAATAAATAAATAAATAAATAAAGTGATTGATGATTTATAATATCATAAAATATAAATAAAAAATAAATAGATAATTGATTAAATAAATATTTATAAATAGAAATTAATTAAATATCACTCAGAATCTAATGATATCTCATGTCAAGTAATCAAGAAAAATAGTGGATAATAACAATATCTTTTTAAATAATTATTATTAATAGTAACTATTTTATATCAAATTATAGTTTTTATTTTTGGTTACAACTTTACTTATATAATCAAATTATTTTATAGTTATTATTCTTGGAAAAGCAAAATTTAATAACTATAAAAAAATGTAATTATAAAAAAGTTTTTTTTACTATATTTATATATAAATAAAAAAGCAAATTAAGATAATTATAGAGAAATATAATTATAAATAGATGTAATTATATGTTTTTATTATTAAAAAATAATTGACTTTATATGCAATTAGAATAGCTTTATCAGATTAAATCTAAAAAATCTGAAAAAAATATATGTTAAAATATGTGATATTATCTTTATTTTAATGTAAAAATAAAAAATATTTATTAGTAAAATTGAAAACTTTTATATAAAGAGAAAAATCCGTATTTTATTATGTTTAATTAATAAATTTGATGTCATTGCATTATTTCTGATTGTCACTGTAAATAAACAAAATATTATAAATATTTAATTAGAAGTATAAAAAATTATTTATTTTTAAAATTTAATTTACAAATATAATAGAATAAATCCTTTCTGAGCATATTTACGAATTAAATTTTATATAATATAAAACAGTATAAGATATCCTTTTTTATATAAGTATCAAATTTAATAATTATTATATAATAATACTTTATTACATGGTTTAATATTAGCCAATCAAATAATTATATTATATTTCAATATCAAAAATTTTATGAAACTAAAATTTTATAATTTCTTCAAAACTAAAACAAATTAAAAAAATTTCTTATCAAGTTGTAGATTTACTAAAAAGCTATCAATATGTAAAAGAATTTTTTATTTTAATTCTTGGTTCAAAAATTATAAGACTTTGTATAAACATGTGCCAAATTTTCAACTCGCATATAAAATAGATAATATTCAAACCATTATAACACTATCAAAAATAAAAATAAAAAAAATTCCTCTTCCAGAAATATAGTTTTACTTGAAAACTATCAATTTGGAAGAGGGTTTTTTACTTAACACTTTTTGTAAGACAATTAAAATGGGATATCTCATTTTGTAGTAAAGAAGTTTATTTGTTGACTTTAGATATTATCGTTATACACCATAGAATTAGAAAAGGAAATAATAACGATAAATTAGAAAAAAATAGATTAAATTATCAAAGTACGGACGTGAAATGCAGATTTTTCCGAGATAATATTAGTATAATAAACCGGTAAATCCACCTCGCTATATCGATATCGTGCGGAATTCGTTGGTTTAAACCAATCTTGTATTACCCAATAATATCTACACACGTTTTCGTTGATTCGTTTTTTGATATATAGACTGTTCGATATAAATATTTTTTAATATAGTTGCTCATTCGGCGAACTTTCCAAAGAGGCATGGATGACGCATATGTTAAAACTATCGAAGAAGTAGTAAAACACTTCAATGTCGACACAGATAAAGGGTTAACCCAAGAACAGGTGGTCGAGGCCCAAAAGCAATACGGGAAAAATGGCATGTATTGTGAGCTGTGTGAAGCTCTTGAAAATTTGTATACACTTTTAATTCTTTTCCCTGATCCACACTTTACGCGTTTGAATAGTTTTTAACACGCGTCTTATTCGAAACTACTATATTAGAACTGCCACCAGAGGAGTCTACACCACTTTTGGAATTGATATTAGAACAGTTTAAAGATCAACTTGTTATTATACTTTTGTTTGCCGCAGCGGTGTCCTTTGTTCTCGCGCTATTGGAAGAACCTGATGAGAAGGGCACTGCATTCGTGGAGCCTATTGTGATTTTACTGATATTGATTGCTAATGCAACTGTCGGTGTAGTGCAAGAGACAAACGCAGAAAAAGCCATTGAAGTAAGAATAATTAAAACTTCATTTCATTCAATGATTATTACTGTTTATTCTTTCTATTTAATTCATTACTTTTTTCAGGCTTTAAAAGAATATTCCCCTGATGAGGCTAAAGTCCTTCGAGATGGTCACTTGTCAAAAATTCATGCTTCCGACCTTGTTCCTGGTGATATTATCGATGTGTCAGTTGGTGATCAAATACCCGCTGATTCTCGTCTAATTAACATCATATCGTCGACTTTCCGAGTCGACCAGGCAATTTTGACCGGTGAAAGTGTTAGTGTGAATAAAGACACGGCAATAATTTCAGACAAAAGAGCTGTAAAACAAGATCAAATAAATATTTTGTTTTCGGTGATTATATACATTTACTCTATTTACTATTCATTGACTTTCTGGTATACCATTAAATTAAGTGTTACTATATTTTCATATTATGATAGGGAACATCTGTGGTTATTGGCAAAGCTCGAGCGATAGTAGTCAAAACAGGCACTGGTACTGCAATTGGTGATATTCACAAGAGCATATCAGCTCAAATATCTGAACGTACTCCTTTGAAACGGAAATTAGACGATTTTGGTGATTTATTAGCCAAGGTTCGTAATTTTCTGTTTTCTTCCTCTCGATATATATGTGTGTTAAAAATATCATATTTTTTACTTTTAATATTAATAATAATAATAATAATAGGTGATTTCAATTATCTGTATTCTTGTATGGTTGATCAATATTCGCCATTTCAACGATCCTTCACATCACGGCTGGTTAAAAGGTGCAATATATTACTTCAAAATTGCTGTCGCACTTGCCGTTGCCGCTATACCCGAAGGTCTCGCCGTTGTTATAACAACATGTTTGGCATTGGGCACCAAAAAAATGGCAAAGAAAAACGCTATCGTTCGATCATTACCTTCTGTTGAAACTTTGGGTTGCACGAGTGTAATTTGCTCTGATAAGACTGGCACTCTGACAACAAATCAAATGAGCGTGTCACGGGTAAGAAGAAAAACACCCAAATACAAAATTTTTATTCAGATGATAAATTTTTTACTATTGATTTGAATTAGGTACTTGTTGTTGCGTCAGAGTTAGCGAAATTTGAAGAGTTTCATGTTGAAGGGTCTAGTTATGCTCCCGTCGGTAATATTTTGTAAGTTGAGTTTTTTTGAGTTATTTTATTTTTTATAATGTTGAAATTTATCTTCAGCTATGTACGTTATGCTTGATTAGAAATTCGGATAGTGGTAAAATTATTGAAAATTTACCATCTAAAAATCATTCCATTAATGAACTGGCACAAGTCTGTGCATTATGTAATGATTCTCACATAGCATATGACGAGGTATTTAAGTCGCATTTATTTTAATATTTTTGACTTAGACTAATAACTCTTGCTTTCTTGATATTTAAAGAGTAATGATATTTATCGTAATGTTGGTGAACCAACTGAAGCCGCTCTTAAAGTTCTCGTCGAGAAAATTGGGTCGAATGACGAATCCTTTAACTTAAAATTAAGTCATAAATCTCCCAAGGAACGTGTCATGGCTGTTAACACATATTACGGAAACAAGTTAAAGCGAGTAAGTAACAGGTTTTTTTTAGTTTGGTATCCTTATCAAAAATTGATTGTTTGTTACGTATCAATTTTTAGTTGGCAACTCTAGAATTCTCTCGCGATCGGAAATCAATGTCTGTCATCGTAATTGAGGCAGGAAATTCATCTGGGAAATTGCTTGTCAAAGGAGCTCCCGAATCAATACTAGATAGGTGTACTTCGGTTCGTATATCTTCTACAACCGAAAGTTCACGGACAATCATCACACCAACGATTCGTGAAAAATTGAACGAAAAAATATTTGAATATGGTCGGAATGGGTTGCGTGTTCTTGCGATTGCTGTGGTAGATTCTGTAAGTGCTCGCTTAGAAGATTGGAATTTGAATGAACCCACCAACTTTGTAGATTTCGAACAAAAAATGACTTTTATTGGTCTTGTGGGAATGTTGGATCCTCCGCGTCCTGAAGTATCCGAAGCTATAAGAAAATGCAAAACTGCCGGGATTCGTGTCATTGTAATTACTGGTGATAATAAGGATACAGCGGAATCAATATGTCGAAAAATCGGTATCTTTGGAGAACACGAAGATTTAACAGGGAAATCCTTTACCGGACGAGAGTTTGATGGGTTATCTGCTGAAAAAAAAGCAGTGGTAGTGCGTACTGCAAATTTGTTCTCGAGAACAGAACCGTCACATAAGAGTGAACTTGTCGATCTACTTCAAGGCCAAGGAGAAATCGTTGCAATGGTATTTTATTTATCTATAAAGCATTTTTATATTTGATTTCAATTTCTGATTTTGCGTATACCTAATTCTTAAATTTTGTGTATATATAGACTGGTGATGGTGTAAATGATGCACCCGCCTTAAAAAAAGCCGATATTGGCGTGGCTATGGGATCGGGTACAGATGTGGCCAAGTTAGCGGCTGATATGATTCTAGCTGATGACAATTTTGCTACAATAGAAAGTGCGGTTGAAGAAGGCCGTTCTATATATAATAATACAAAACAATTCATTCGATACTTGATTAGTTCCAATATAGGAGAAGTTGTTAGGTAAAAGCATCATCATTATTATAATTATTTTGTCTCTATTTTAATCGGGTTGATTTGTTTTCAATGTTAATTAATCATGTATATCTTTATAGTATTTTCCTTACCGTACTTCTTGGCATGCCAGAAGCGCTTATCCCAGTTCAGTTACTATGGGTTAACCTAGTCACTGATGGGCTTCCAGCCACTGCACTAGGTTTTAATCCACCAGATCACGAAATTATGCGTCAGCCACCCAGAAATAGTCGAGAACCTATTGTTGGCAAATGGCTGTTTTTTAGATACATGATTGTTGGTACTTATGTCGGCGCAGCTACTGTATTCGCTTACGCATGGTGGTTCATGTTTTATCAAGACGGACCACAAATTAGTTATTACCAACTGGTTAGTGATTAATTCTTTTGAATTGTGAAAAAGAATATCATTTTTCAAACAAATTTATTCAATTCAATTCATTCCATTCCATTCCATTCAATAATAGACAAGTTTCCATAATTGCGACGAACTATTCCCGGAAATCGGTTGTGAAATGTTTATTAATGATATGTCGAGACGCGCTACAACAATGTCACTTACAGTTCTAGTAACTATCGAGATGTTGAATGCCATGAACTCACTCAGTGAAAATGAAAGTCTGCTCACTTTACCACTCTGGGAAAACTTTTATCTTGTGTTTGCCATTGCGTTGTCAATGGTTCTTCACTTTATGGTGCTCTATGTGCCATTCTTTTCGGTAGGTCACGACTGCAATTGTGATTAATTTTTTCCAATAGAACTAATAATTTATAATTTTATAGAATCTGTTTGCTATTCTTCCACTTAATTGGATCGAATGGAAAGCTGTCCTGTGGATATCTGGTCCAGTCATCGTAATTGATGAATTGATGAAGTTTTTCAGTCGTAAATTAATAGGTAATCAATCTGTCAAGTTATGTTTAATTCCGTCTCATCTTGCAATATTTCATTAATACGTCTTCTTTATACAATAATAAATAGCACCACCAGCAAAAATCAAAAAAGAATAAGAAAAAAAATCCTCCCAACACATAGAGAAAATACATATTTATTTTTCCACGACCCACCTGATTGAAAGACATTTCGTTATCATCACAATCATTATCATCATCACATCACTGTACTAACTAACTAGAGATCGACCTTATATATATATTATAATAATTCTCAACAAATTCTCCCGAATCGACTGGACGCAATTTGTATTATAAATTATAAATAGAAAATCATTCCGTAAATGCAAATAATAATTCTTATCTTACTATCACATGATAATTCTTGAAATAACCAACAAGAACAAACGGGAAATGCAGATCATTTTTGATGATGTGAGCCTGACCTATATAGATAGCAACGGCAATAATTTTATAGCCCAATTCGATAATAACAATAAACTAAATATTTACGAGAACGCTACTAACTATAAGGTTTGTCACTGTCATCGTAGTCTCAAATTTTTTATATTTTACGTAATTTGCTTTTCCACTTTTCGTCCAAAGAAAGAAATAAATACCTTTTACTTTTTATTTTTCTACTCTACTTTTTTGGTATTGAACACAAAAGTTTTTTTTGGCAGCTGACAACACACCTCCTCCCCCCCCCCCCTTCTTCTTTTTTCAACTCTGCACAGTTAGTCTGAAACCGTTTATTGTACATATATCTTTGGCCTGTTTTCTGTAATTCTCAAGATTACCTTTTGTTATTTCTATTTTCTTTTTATGTGAATTAAAAAACAAGTACTAAAATAGCGAGAGAATTCATTTTTAATCCTTGCATTATTCCATACATTACACACACACACACATATACTTCAATCAACCTTTTCTTGGTATATATATAGTACAGGTCAATTCAATAGGAGAATTCTCTCCAATTTACTGTCACCTCCACCAATATGGGGAATACAATTGGCAAAGACAAGAACGAGGACACAGTAGACGGCGGGAACCTAGTTCCGCACGGTATATACAAAGGACCACAGGACTGGGACTATCGAGCAGTTCGTAAACTCATTATTGAGCGAAAGCTCTCGCCTTTTTACACAGGATTGCCTGACTACGACGATAACTGGGATGAGGTCACGCTGACCACCCATAATCTTCCGAAAAATGGTGATGCTACTAAAAAATCTGGGACTTTTAGCAGTAGCAGCGACAGTAATTTATCATCATCGTCTTCATCAAACAATAAAGATCTAAAGCGCACTCCTTCACCCGCAAATGCTGTAACCGCTTCTAATACTAGTGGCACAGTTGGTCAATCGAAGGGAAAAGATATGTTACCGGCAAAGTCACTTGATGCTTTATTATATAAAGGCGCTGTAGAATGTCCTATTTGTTTTTTGGTGAGTGGCTTTTGTCGGCTATTATTTAATGTTGATTTAATGAAATAATGAAATATATATATTTATCAAAAAAGTAATCATTGATAATTTATGGTAAGACAGAAATACGAGGATGAGAAGATCAATGGATTTTCTATTTCTCATAACTTAAAATTTTTCTCTGGCGATACTAAATTGAAAATAGATGTCCAAAAGATTTAATAATGAAATAGAATCATTCACTCAATTTTTAATTTATTTACCTATAATTATGATTTTGTAGTATTACCCGCGTAACATTAATCATTCGAGGTGTTGTGATAAACCTATTTGCACAGAATGTTTCGTGCAAATCAAACGACCTGAGGCTGGTAGCTTAGGCGCGAATAATTCTCCGGCAGTTTGTCCTTTTTGTGTTGAGCCGAATTTCGGTGTTTGCTATACACCACCGTCATTCAGTGCTGGACTTAATGCTACAGAGGCGGGGGTAAGACAAAAAGGCTTTAGATTTTTCAGAATTTTTATGATCATTTACGAAATTAATTATAACTTTTATTTTTAAGAATGAATATTTTTGTTGGTCATTTCTGATCATTTAACTTCTCGCATTTTCTATTTAGACTTCTGCATTCTCTTCTACTCAAAATTCATCAAAATCTCTACTTTCCGCACCTTCTACTAATACTCCAAATCTACAGGACCCAAAGATCCGACGGAAAAGCATAAGTCATAAAAATTCAGATGTCGTTACATCCGGCAAGTATCCTCTTAACTTTTTATCTATTCTCATTAGTTTGCTAATAAAAAGCTATATAATATAGATGCCATAAGACCAGATTGGGCTACACGTGCTTCTATTCAACCAACACGAGGGCAACAAGGTTCGCGTCGTTCTTCAGCCTCAACGCCAAATAGTACACCTTCGCGACGTTTAACTGTAAGATCAGCAGCAGGTGGCACAACTACATTTGTTAATCCAACTACATCTTCCAGACGTAACAATAATAATAATAATAATAATGGTAACAACAACAACAATAATAATGCGTCTAGTGGAACCTCAGAGTATGGCGGATATCTTGCAGCAATGCGTAGTATGGGCACAGATTTGGAAGAATTAATGATAATGGAAGCAATACGATTAAGTATTTTAGAACAAGAGGAAAGAGAACGACGGGAAAGAGAAGAAAGTACAAGCGCCGAAAATGGTTCGAATGAGGATGTTTCGAATGATAGTAATAATAACAATAGTAATATTACTACTTCTAATACTACTAATACAAGTGTTACATTAAATGAAGAGGACGAGGAGGACGAAGACAATGATGGTGAGGAATTGAATACAACCTCTGAAAGTTCTCAAACTACAAATATAAGAAGACAATCAAATGAATCTGAAGGGGGTTTATTGTCACCTGTAAACTTAGTTTCCAGTAGTGATGATACAGATGATGATGAAGAAAATGATGAGGGAAGAGAACGAGATGATTTGATGAATACTGAAGAAATTATAACTACAATTAACAATAATCATCCAATAACATCGACGACGACATCTACACGTGCAGAAGATGAAACAATAATAACAAGTATGTCCACTGATTCATTTGAGTCTGGATTATCACCGTCGAATCCATTAATGAATCATGGTCAATTATCAACGGAAACAACAACGACGACATTATTTTCTCCATTTACAAGTTCAAATCTCGATATAGCTGCTTCATCTGCATCAAATTTCAAAGATGTACTCCCTCCACCATTTGAAGATTATACTAGCGTTAATAACCCATCTCCGATTGAACAGGATGAAAATAATAATCTTAATAACAACCTCGAAGCTCAAGCATCATCTACTCGTTCAAGTGGAGACATCAAAATAGCACCAGTAATTCTTTTAACGAATAATAATAATACAGATGCTGCTACTATTGTACAAAATGATAATAATAGAGATTTAGATTCTAGGGACCAAAGAGGTGGTTCATGGGAACCGGCTTGAATTTATTATTAGTAGTAGTATGAGAATGAGGGATAATTGCTACACGAGGCTGCGACTGTATAGAGAAAATCACAATATGAAGAGGAATTGTTATCAAGTAAATGAAGCAACAATGTTGTTTATATTATAACATTCTATTATTTTACTATGCTTACAAGGAAATTATGCATGGATATTTTTTTCTTAGTTTTTATCATTATTAATTTTTTATTTAATATTATTGGTAATCATTTGCATTTTTTCCCCTTTTTGACTTGCTCGAGAATGTTTGATGGTTTTTCTAGGAAGTGGAAGTGAAAGTGAAAGTGAAGCACGTTGAAATTTCTTATTTTGGTGTCGAGAAATGTATGTAGTTTATATATATAATATATATTTGTAGAATATTTTCTTGATTTTGCATTTAAATGATCGAAGAATGATTATTTTTTTTTATTGTATACAAATCTTCCCTTTCTACTTTTTTTTACAATTTGCACACCATTACTATAATTAACATAACTGTTACAACAAAATTTATTCATTACTACATGTGTCATGGGCATTTAATAGTAAAGTCAAGTAAAAAAAAAAAGATTCGAATCATGACGAAAAATTTGTAATACAAAATCAATTTAATGTTTTATATTTGATCACTCTGCAAAGCAACTTGAAATATGAATCAACAGAACGAACGTATCATTGGATATTTATTTAATTCATTACTTAGCTTATTTTTGTCGATTCAAATAAAATAAGAAATCAAATAACAACTCACTAATTCTCAATGATTTGCTGCTGTCTTGGTAGCCAGAACGCGAAAAAAGGGGAAAATGTAATAGTAATTCCAACCACAAACACCAGGGCACAAAGATCAGCCCAGAGGTTATTCCAAATTAATCGGTATCGTATCAAAATGGTGATTACTTGCGGTAACGGGTATGGAAGAATCGATACGAAATTGGTAGAATCATAGGATGGTTTATTCTATTAACATATAATAAATTTATCACTTAAATGTAATTAGTTAGCGTAGTTCGATGCAATAAAAAAAATTACCATTTGCTGCTGTTGCAATTGCTGCTGGTCTAAGAAAAACCGTGTTGTATGTAGAATGAGCTCCAGCGTTATAAAATACCAAAATAGAGGGATACTTAATTCATTATTACTCAAATGATTTGAATTATCGTAAATTAAATAATTAAAATGATGCCATGCATTAACTCTAAAGAACAATTTATAACTGACAACATAAAGTCCAAGCGAAAACATTACTACAAAATGAATCAATTTCCATGTTCTAGCTCTTAAATTTTGTCCACCGACTCCAATACCAAGTGTTGATCCAAGTAACATCATCTCAGGGGAAAGGAATGGAAACATTGATTGTGTTGACGTTTCTTCACCTGATAATAACAATGACGATTGAAGTTGCTGCTGTTGTTGTATATTTCGTTGTTCTTCTAATGATGAGGTGTCACCTCCTGCTCCACTAGTCGAAGTAAATGATCCAGTGCTAATATTGTGTTTACGCATATTTTCAAGCATTTGTCGAAGATATTCTTCTTCATTGAGATTCATATTAGGATTATTATTATTACTATTATTATTATTATTATTATTCTTATTATTCTCAACAAACGAATCATAAGAACTTGATCTATGTATACTGTCAGGTCTTCTTATATGTGCCATTGAACTTGAAGAAGATAATGAAACGGATTCGGGTTCTTCGTGTATAATAGAAGAGCTTATTTGATCATTATTACTGCCGCTACTATTCAGTATTATCGATGGTTGAGAAAGTGACGAAATAGAAGCTAGAAAAGAATTGAAAAAGAAATTTCATTATTTAGGGAAAAAACTACTTTGCCCTTTCTCTCCGTAAACAATTACATTTTCTACTAGAAATAACAGGATTAAATGGTGCTTCACTACTAGTCGGCGAAGACTGTTGACTTGGCATTGGAGAGGTGAAGAAAGGAGCTTCCCCACCATGTACTGTAGTAATTTGAAGTAATCTGTCCCCGGCTCCTCGTAAAATCTTTTTTTGACGCCTTTTACGTCTTTTTTCTGCATCTGTTGCCTCTTTTTTTGTATCTTCGGGCATTTCTTCGGACATTTTTTGCAAAGAATGTAGGGATTATCGAATTATTCAAATAATCATCAACTCGTGATGAAATTTTAGTGACAATCACCGGCCAAAAAACACAACACTTTGTGCAACAAGGAACTTTGTAACTGTGACATAACGATAATATAGCGCAAAAAACTTTGAATTTTTTATTATTTAGCAAAGTAAATGGTTGTAAATCATCAATTATGAATTCCAAGAGACGGAAATTTGTTTATTTTTTGAAAGAGGCATAAGAATTGTTGCAATACTTTCTTCTATAATTTGTTGGTCTGGTTCTTTTTTGTGAACACGGCCAAAATAATAGGAATAAGAAATGGTAGAACTATTTAAAGAGGAAGCATTACTGTCGATTCCTTTCTTTTCATTTTGATCAAACCATTTCCATACCCTAACTTGTATCCTTTCTTGGACCCTTTCGTTTTTGTTTAGCTAATACTACAGACTGTGAAGAGTGTGGGTAGGTAAATATTCATTCTCATTATCAGATTCTTCAGACTCTTTAGAATAGTCAAATGCTGTTACTGCAGAGGTGACAACGTTTAGTTCTTGATGTCGGGTCATGTGATTTCCGAACATCGCCGAACTACATTGATTTTTATGTCGAGCAGTTATTAAATGTGGGGGATATAATGACCAAAATTGTGCAGATCATGGGATCATTTGGCCAGAATTATCGATAATTTCTTATAATAAAAGAGTAATAATATGGTGCAGGAATTCTTAAGTTCTTTTCTATAATATTACCAGTTAAATTTTGTATTTATTTTTTAGTTAAAAAATTAATAGAATTTTTAGAATGAAATATATTGTTGATTAAAGAGTTCTTGCATCATATTTTGAAAATAATGATAAGTACATAAAATATATAACTTAAATTAAAAGAATACTATTACCATTTTATATGAGTTCTTGGAAGAGTTGGTGAGTGCTTAATAATGTTATAATAAGTTACTTGGCCAGGGTAATTATAGTAAAGTTTATTAAGAATAACGGGTGGGAGAGTATAATATAATCAAATCTATATAATGTATCAAGCATTAAACTATGATTATAAATGAATCTAAAGAGAGGTAACAGTATGTTCATGATGTGATCAGCTAGAATGAGATCTGGGATTTTTAATAATAGTTTTTAATTAAAGAAATTTATGTAATAAATATGTAATTTCATTATAAGATCATAATTTAATAATAATAAAGTATAATTT